TCATTACAAATCCTCTCATGACTGTATGCAATTTGTGGCTCTGCTCTGTAGCCTTTTGTCAGCAGGCGAGCCAAGCAGCATGTCTCTCCGTCTCCTTTGCTTTCCATCACCCCTCCCCGATGTGTCTCCGTCGATCCCTCCGACCATCTCTCTCCTTTTCTGGGGGGCGCAACACTCATCTGCAAATTGTAGTAATTAGCCAAGAACATCCACGATTGTGCGCTTGCAGCGTGGATGAGGTCAGCTCTGGCCACTCAGGGGGATAAGATGACTGGGCTCTCTGTGCTTGTCAGAGCTGCTTGGAATAGCAGAGAAGAGAAGGAGGGGAAACTCAAGAATGCAGAATCAGAGCGTGAACCCACAAAGGTACTTCTAATCCTCCTGGCGTCGCAGCGGTAAAGGGCAAATGGCTGATCAGATTGCTGAAATCGAGGCTAGACATCCTGCAGTAATAAACCTGCCTGTGAGTGGGAGTAGATTGCAGAGATAAACCAGGCTAATTTCACAAACAAAAGCAGCCGCTGATTTATCTTGACGAGATGTACGCGTCGCTATCAGGGTCTGGATCGCTGCTTCATTTGACGGATATGCGAGCTGATGGAGAAATGCAGGCCAGCGCAACGGAGATGATGCACCCCCCCTGTTAAACACAAACACACACATACACACTGGCACTGTAAGAATAATCCTCTTAAGTGTCAGTGTGAACTGTAGGGAGCAGCAGGTCTTGTGCCCCCACTGTGGATGCTGGCCTCATTTCCACTGCTCATTTCCTGCCCCGGGCAACACCTTCCTACAGTCCTCTGTGACCCCTGTGTCCATCCAAAATAGAAAAAAAATATGGTCCCTCTCTAGTTTTCTGCTCTATTTGTAGAATCAAACGCTGAAATGAGGGTGTGAAAGTTTTTTGCGAGGCTTTTGTGGAGCAACACAGACAAACACGAACCTTCAGATACACTTGGAAACATCCAGAATAGTAGGAGTTTAGTCATTTGTGGACAAAGTGACAAATACGATCCTGGTCTCACAACCAAATGATTACATATCCTCGCTAACAGGAACAGTTTCTTGGTTTCATCAACAAGGCCAGAGACCTCAGTGACACAGTGATTACTATCATCTGCTGCACATCTTAAGTTGTTTACATTAAATACTATGTAAATGTAGTCATTCTCAAGCAGGATTTGCTCCTTTTGCTGTTAATTTGACTTGTAACACTTGAATCTTTTTATCTGTTAAAAATCCTGTAGTTGTCAGTGTTTAATTTAATGCACCAAATCAGCTGGTAATTAAATTGATTCTGACGAACATTTGAACACACTAGGAAACCCTTTAAGGTCATTTTTCAATGTGCAGGGTAGTTTTATAGTCCAATAAAAATCTGTGAACATCAAAAATAGATGCCATGACCAAATGTTCTCAGCTGGTGTCGTCACTGACGCTTGTTTTCTGGTAATAACAAGTCTGCCTCTGTAACATGTGGTTAAATTTGTGAAACAGTGTGTTTTAAACCAAACCATGATTTTTTTGGGACCTCAATTACCGAGTTTTGGTGCCTAAACTTAATCAAAGGGCAAGTGAAACTAGACTTAAGTCACAAAATAAAACTAAGTGGACATGAACCTGAGTCTCTTGAGTAAACGTCCTGCAACCTAAACCTTGATTATACTCCAGATCGGACAACCAAGGACATGCAGTTATTGCACAACCTATCTATTTCACAGAGGTTTGCTCAGAAGACTCTGCTCCACACATGCACAGTTGGTCATATGTATGTATTCCACACAAACAAACAAACCAACAACAACCGAACACGTGCACTTTGTAGCATAGTTGCTGCGAAGACACAAAGTCTGGGCTGCATATAGAAGTGTCTTGAGGGGTCCATGTGGACTCTTTTGGACTTGAAGAGATGATGAAATTTATGTCATGTGGACCTGAGTGGATCATCATGTACGTGTTGGCGCAGAAAGCATAACCCCAACCTTACGCCTCCTCCCTGTTGAGGGACTTTAAAAGTGGAAAAACTCCTACAGGTCCATAAAAAATTGACATGCCTGGCACTGATGTCAAAGGACACCCTGCAGCTTTAATAAAACTGCAGTATTGGACACCCTGGGTACAAGTTGCCAGCGCGGATTGCCAAACTTGTACTCCTGTGATGGTGCATGATCTCTGAGCCATGAGACATGAAGAAGTCAGTCTCTCCAGTGTTTCATTAGAGAAAACCCCAAATCCACATTTTTGTGCAGCTAAAGTGTTTCTGGGTTTTTGTCTACCTTGTCATTGCCTGCAATAATGGCGTATTTTAGGATTTTTCTCATGAGTGACGAGAAGATGGAGCGTGAGATCGACAGATGGATTGGTGCAGCATCAGGAGTAATGGAGGCGTTGTACCGGATCATCGTGGTGAAGAGGGAGCTGAGATGGAAGGTAAAACTCTCAATGTACCAAACTCAAATGTAATCTATGTTAAAAACCTTCACTTTTGGTCAGGAGCTCAAGGTAAGAATGAGACGGAAGCACCTGAAATGGGTTTCCTCTGTAGGGTGAGAAGCTCAGACATCCAGAAAGAGCTCAGAGTAGAGAAAGGAACAAGCTGAAGTGTTTCAGGCGTCAGATTCGGATGCCTCTTCCGCCTTTTTAAGGTTTTTCAGGCAAATGCACGAAGACCTAGAACTCGCTGGAGGAATCTTGTCTGGAACATGTTGGGATCCCCCAAGAGGAACTAGAAAACATTGCCCTGGTTGCTTGCATGCTGCAATCCTGACCTAAGTCAGGACAAGCGGAAGAAAATGAATTGATGAATGGATGGATGGATGGATGGTCATTGCCTGACTCTTGGCATGTCCTCAGGATGGTGAAGTAGCACCAACGTAGCTTAAGCTTAAGCTTGTATGAACATTTTAGTATCTCTTAACTCTCTCTTTGACACTCAGAAGTAAGATTTTTGGTGGAATGTTCCTTTACCACTTCCCCCCCACATTCCCCGTCTCTTTCTGTTTTGGCTCTTGTCTTTGGTCATTTCTCTCTTCGTCTATCCCAGTTTCCGTGACGTTTCATCCATCACCTGAGCTCATCTTGTCAATGGTTTAATGTCTCCCAGTGATGCTACAGCAGTTAAGTTGTCACACAATACTGACAGTTACAAAAGTAAAGCTTTTAGAGTTGCTGCCAGAGCGCTTTGACTTACAGTGGACAAGCTTATCAACTCTCACCCCCACCTAAACGCTGTCAGGATGCAGCAGCTTGCCAAGAACAAAACACTTTAGACAGAAAGTCCTGTTGTTTTAGAGGAACTGTCTACAGTAAGACTGACCAACAGACAGTTTTACCGGAGCAAGAAAATACCCCAGAGAGGAAAACTCTGAAAGGCTTAGAGTCCCAGAGTCAGCTGGCCGGTGAAATTGTTCTCCGCCGATTAAAGAGCTCGCGCAGCATCTCACCTAAAGCCTCTGAAACAGTATGGAGTCAGTCATTTAAAAACAGTACATCAGTGCTGTGGTGCCGCCGCCGCTGCTGCAGTGCAGTGCGGTTCAATTTTGTTTTTGCCAGCTGAGAGGTCTGAGTAGTGTGCACATTACCTTGAAAGACCGACTCATTCCTCAGGCTGCAGAGCTGTGTGACGTGCAGGGCAACATAACAGCGCAGAGATGGCATTAACACAAGAAATGAACGGTTACAATTTACAGATACGCTTTCTGAAGGCTGGCGGAGGAAAGCACATGGAAGTTTTTCGTCTCTGTAATGTAGCAAAATCTGGGCTACACTGTGCATAATGAGACAGTCAGCTACAGTCTAACATCTCTGATGCCATTAAAATGAAAGAAACACTAGATTGCATTTCTTGGAGAAAATGGTAGTGTGATTGCTGAGAGCCACCTTACAGTTGGAGCAGTTTAAAAGTAGGAGCATGTCTATAGCGGTAAGTCTTGACTAATCTTTGTGTTTTGTGTATAGCGCCCCCTAGTAGCGAAATTGCTCGACACTCGGCACATTTATCCCTAATCTCAGGCTGTTTGTTTTTGCCAATTATGGTTCCAATTGGCTGAAGTTTGCAAGAGATAAAACTGTTTAAATTAATTTAACCGTGGACGAAAAGTTTGTTGGACCAATCCTAGAACAGAAATACCTAATATCTAAAACTAAACATATGGACAAAGTTCTGGATCCTCAAAATATGAAAAGTTTTGTGATGATTTGATGAAATATGTAGGATGTGGGGTCAAAGGTAGTATGTCAGTCGTACTAATTTCAGTTGTTTAAAATTAGCAATATTAAAGAACTGGTGGCACAAAGGACCACTCATGGCATTATTTTTTCTGGAAGTGTTGTTGGGTAGATTGTGGCTCGATTCCAGCAAGATGGAATTATCGGTTAGGTCTGCTATTTCAGTCAGGGTTATTTGCAGCCCTGGGCAGGCGGTTTAATGGGACTGAATCTTAGGCGCCATTTATAATCGTATTTCCCAAAAATCAGGCAACCATACTTTGGCCGAGCTAGTTCCTCTGGCCTGCTGGAATTAGACTGGTATTGAACAAAAAAAGTGTTTTTTCTTTAAAAAAAATAATAATTTTGTGACGTAAATGAACCTGTGTCATTCTCTTCAGCATTATCCACTAAATCCATAAGCAAAACCTTCAGAGTATCTGATTCAGTAGCAAGCTTCAAATGAAACCTTTAAACATAGGCTTGCCTTCAAGCGGTTTTTATTTAGTTGCATGCAATTTACGACAATCAGGAGCATTTTTCTACACCTCACGATTCTCGAGATTTTTTTGCAATCATTCCGAAAATTTATTGGGTCGTGTCTCACCATGTCGTGGTATGGGTTTTACTAGTTTAGGATATGCGACGCAATGGGGAAGCTGTGTATAAAGTTTCAGTGTTTTTTTTTTTGTGATATGAAACTTTTTTTTTTTGAATTGTATAAAATCTGGCGTTGCATCATCTGCACCAAAACTAACAGCAAGCACGGCATTAATAAACTTCAGTCAACCTTTTCCCTATACAGTCAAGCTGTTGCTTTATTTTAGACTTTAGTGAAAGTACAACAAAATAGCCCTAACATTTTACCACTTTATTTTCCACAAAGAAACAACAGCATTAATTTTATTGAATCCAACTGACACGACTGGAGTGGATGAGAAAAATAGTGTTAAATGGGCAAAATAAAATCTGGTGACCGTCTTCTTTTTCTAAAATGCACTTGTGGTAGTAACGCTCGCACTCGCACCTTCGCCACATTTCACAGAATCTCATTTCCAGCCTCTCAATGAGCCGTCATTCACCTGATCACTAGAATCCCTTTTCAGCATCACTGTACATGCAGGTTTTCTTCTCAAATATGGCAGCTTCGGGCGGGCGCAGTCAGACAATTACTTGTGATGTCTGCTGAACAACACCGTCTTTGAAAACGAGCTTCATCTCCAGCTTCGACACGGCTCTCCTCGCGCTCTCCGTTGCCGTGCCGTCTTCTTATTAGAGCGGTTTCAGGAAATTAATTCCACTTTAATTCCCGGGGACTAGACGGCACTTCCGCTATCACAGTTTCCTCGTGTCCAGAGCGTTAGTCCAATTTGCCATCATTTCAAAGCAACACAAATATGTAAACAGCTTGTAAAATATGCACACACGCAACAACAAAAAAGAAAAAAAATCCAAAGCATTTGTTTCCACAGTGCAGTGTTTCTCTTTTCCATCTCCTCTGCAGTGCAAAAAATGAAAATACGAGGAAAAAAAAAAACATCAAATAATAAATAGACTTCCTCTTTTATATATTTCTGTGTTTATGTATATACATATATATATATATAGAATGATAAACGGTGGGTCTCTACATGAGCACACAGCTCTTGGCCCGGTCCTTCCTCATGGCTGGGGCCTGGTCCATTTGCTCAGTCCGACCCGGCAGAGGCGGCAGGGGGAGCTGCGACACTCGCTTCAGGCCTCTGCGGCTGCTGCTTCGCTTGAGCTGCGGCTTGTGCGGCCGCCGGACCGACGCCAAGGTGGTGATGTGGAACACGTCCCGGACGCTGTTCTCGGAAACCTTGGAGGTGCACTCGACGTAGGCCACCGCCCCCATCTGCCGGGCTATCGTGCTGCCCTGCAACGCAAGTGAGAGGCGGTTAAGAAAGTCAACTCTGGAGCAACAACAAGCTGCAAAAGGAAGAAGGTGCATTTTAGGCACAGAGCCACAAATCTCATCAACTATTAGATGTCATCTTGTGTAATTTTTCTCCACAAAGCACATTTTTTTCCCCTCTCCTTTCAGTGATTTTCAATTTTTGTAGACACCGTGACACATCAGTACCATCTTTTCTATCCTTCACGCAGGCTTTTAGAGGCTGCGCTAGACATGATTTTCCTTTTGTGTCAACAGGCTGTTTGAAAAGGAAATTCTCTGTACCTTGGCATGAGCAAGCACTATATCTCAACAGCAAAAAAAAAAAACTAAGTGTTCCCGAACACAAGCAGCAGTTTCTGAGACAGAGATGTTGATCTAAACTGAATGTCAATGATCTAAACATGTCTAGAGACAAATGAAGCCCCTCCATCTGAGCCATGAATAATGTAGATGCTGACTCCTCAGTCTGTAGTTAAAAAAAAGAAAAGAATAAAATAGAGGGATCAGAACAGCGCAGACCCACTGGGCCACTGTTGACTCGGTCTGTGCAGCTATTTAGAGAGAAGAGACTGAACCCGAACAGAACTCCTCCAGCACTCGAGCTCACCCCTGAGTAATGTTACAATATACCCAGTTAATTGAGACCGTAAATTGTTTGCTTGAGATCAAATCAGAGACAAATTTAATTTTAAAATCCCTCGGCCCCTCTCTTCGCTACAGTACAGTGCAGCCTCATCTCTTGTTTCATGATTACACTGTAACCCTCTCAGTCCCAAAGACTTTCTGTGCATTCTTTTTTAGCTTCGGTCACATTTTTACTCACTGTGGGCTCATTTTTCGCTGCAACATAAAGACCTGCACCTCTATGGAAACAGAACAACCATGACTAGAAGGAAAGAGAACTCAGGAATCTCTTTTCTGCAGCATGAGACAGGTATAATGCCATAAAGTTGCATTTCCTTGATTATTTATTTTACAGATATTGAAAAAACCTGGAATAAACACGTACAACATTTTGCCAAGTTTGCGCAGGTGTTGCCAGTGCTGGAAAAAAATGGTGAGTCTACCTACTATAAATATTTCACTACTTACAGTTGGTTCCCATACTTGTCTCCTGTCTGCTCTGTGTAAACACAGCCTGCAGTTCAGTCCAGTTCAGTCTAAAAGTTACTGAATGTTTGTCACATGACTGCTGGTTGTGGACGAACAGCTTTTTGGTTGTGCAAAATCTTTAGTTTAGTCTAGTTGAAATCGTTCAAGGAGCCCTACAATGTTGGAAATCTCTCTGTTTTGTACTAGGGATGTCCTAATCAAGTCCCAAGTCATTTAATATTAGGTTTCTCGTGATACTGAGTCCTGATCAGATACTAGTAACATACACTTTAAGTACATTAAAGTTCTTAGAACCAACCCAGTGTATATGCTTAACAATGAAATAGCTGCATTTCTGTATCCAAGCTGTTTCTTAATGTTTTGTAGATGTTAAGGAACTTTGTTGTAAAGCTCTGGTAGGACAATGTAGTGTTAGAGGGTAGGGTGTATTGTGGCTCCTGCATCCTTTACATGCATGCCAGAAAACATACTGTAGATTGGCTGTAGTACCTGGTTGTTCCACCAGGTGGAGCCTCTTACTTTTTATTACTTTAGAGACCAGAGGTGTTCATTCAGACTATAGGCAGCTCATGTCGGCAAGCAGAAACATTGTTCGAGTTTAACTAGCGATGGGCAGCATGACAAAGATTTCTGTCATGCTTAATGACCTCCGACCTGAGTTAATATATTTTGTGCAAAACTCAGGATATCCCTGGTTTTTACAGCGTCTGGCTCAGATAAATGGTATCATTTTGCACATTCTTACAATATAACATGACTTTTCATCCCACTGAGGGTTAAACCTACATCCACACAAGATTCAATACATGTAAAGGTTGTAACGATGAGACAGGACTACATTTCTCATGACCCTCCAATGGCACGCTGTCCGACACAGAAAGAGCTTTTCATCCCTCCGGTGGACATGGTTTGATTTTTATCTCGGCTGTGCACTGAGGCGCATATAAGAAGCAATGAAGCCCTCATTAGGTGGAACAGCAGATTTAGATTCAGGGGGAGGGTGCCGAGGTAGAGATTGTCGTGACAGGCGGAAAAGCTCGATCGAATCTCGGGAAGATTAGTGCGGAAATGTCTGGAGTTCACCCAGTGGTCACTCTCGCTGACGACTCCTCAGCTCTGTTGGAATTCAATTTAAGATCAACAACAGGATAACAACACTGGCTATTGGATTAGAGCACCGAAATGTTTATTGTGCACAGCTTTGGCATCTGCTGTGTGACACACATTTCCTGGGCATATTAGAGAGACAAACAGTAGCTGCCTGGAACCTAAATAGAGACTGAGAAAGAGGCAAACAGTAACTTAATGTAGTCCTGGCTATAAACAGTCCCCAGCTATTTTACATTAGCTCTGTGCTTTGTCACTCCATCTTTTGTTTATGTGTCTTATTTACATGAACTGTCTGCTTTTTCTGATTTTTTGGAAGCAGTGTGCTTTTAGCCTCCGGCGGGCTCTCAGACAGTAGCGCGAGGGAAAAAAAAAGGCTCCTTTGTTTTGGGGGCTTTTGTGCGGCGGTGAAAAAGCCCCCTTTTTTTTTTTTTTTTTTGTATGTCCAACACAGGAGAGCACAAAATGAACACGCTGAAAGCTGATTAAAATTCACAGATTTACAGAACAGTTTATCATCCCCTCCCTCTTCTCCCCATCCTCTTGGCTTAGAGGTCACGGCGGCATGCGATAAAAGGGCTCGCTCGTTTATCAATGTCCATTTTCTATTCATCCTGCATTTTGAAAATCCCTAAATCTGCATGAATATTTCATTTCAGGGGAGGAAAAAAAACAGAAAAGTGTCCCTAGACGTAAACCCCGCTAACCGCTTGTGCTTCTTCTGCAGCCCTTGCCGTAAGCAACCTCACATCGCTTGTCAGCAAAATTTTGGTGAAAACGCCGACCCCAGCAACACGTCCCCGAGGGGTTTTACAGCTCTGATACAGTGGTCATGTGCTCACACTCCCCTTCCTGTGGGAAAAACTCACCACAGAGGTAACGCCACTGCTGATCCAAGATGGAAAAAAAATTGCACATTACAGCCAGATTGCTTTCCACATATTTTTTTTTTTTTCTGCTGTTGTTTTCAAATCTGCCTTTCGACCCAACCCGAGCTCCCAGGGAACGTTCCCACAACACTGGCTAACATCACCTACAATCATTTATCAAGGAAAATGTTTTAAACAAATGTTTTAAGAGCATTTTCAGTTCCAATAATGTTCCTATGAAGTGTAATATAATGTTTTATTATCAACTTTCAGAGGAGGTTCTCAGGAATACAGATGAAGTTCCATGATAACAAAGGAAGAACGTTCTCAAACTAACATTTAAGCTACGTTATCAAAGCCTCAGATGATTTTCACAACGTTAATGTGACATATTATTAAAGGTGGAACATTCTGCCTGCAATGTTCTGAAAATGTTTTGAGGTAGTTATTGAGGAACACATTACAGAACTTTCTTTGTATAAAACATTCTCACAGTGTTCCACGATAACAAAGAAAGAACTTTCTCAAACCAACATTTAAGAAATGTTATCGAGGCCTCAGATGACAGAACATTTTATAACATTCCTGTAATGCGATATGTCAAAGGTGGAACATTTTGTCTTGTTGAGAGAAAACATCGTAGGAAGTTCCTCTATAAATGATTTCCACCGTTACAAAAACGTTCTCAGTGCAACACAAAAATGTTTTCAAGATCTTATCAAAACCTCAGACGCTCTTTATAAGATGTTCCTGCAAAGGTGGAATATTCTGCTTGCAATGTTCTGAAGATCTTTTGGAGACATACAGAGATTAAATCTATAAAACGTTACTATAAGGTTCCACAGCATACCATGATAACAAAGGAAGAACGTTCTCAGTGCAACGTTACGTTTGGGCGTAACGGTCTAATAATGTCATCCCTAAACACTATAGAACATCTTTAGTTATCCCACCTTGAAGAGGACATTTTGGGGAAGTAAAACAGAACTTCATCGTAAAAACATTGGCAGAACTTCCTCTGAATGTTGCTGGTCACCTTCTCTGTCATCATTTATTCCTCCTCAGCCACCCGTCCTGCTCTGGTTCTCACCTGTTCGTGGGTGACGGGGATGAGGCGCTGCTTGGACAGCTCTCTCAGGGTGTTGACGTCCGTCCTCATGTCCAGCTTGCAGCCCACCAGAACCACCTTGGCGTTGGGACAGAACTCCTGCGTCTCTCCCTGCCACTGTGCAAAACAGAAATGCCGAAACACATCAGCGATTATTCCAAACCTGGGAAGCTGAGCTTTCGTATCGACCGGTGAGCTGCTGAGGTGCGGCGATGACCTTTAACCTCTGGACACCTGAACTCAGAGGAGATTAATGCTCTCTTGAGAAAACACATTTGCTCAGCTGAGAAAACTCAAAACTACTTCTTTATATGTATTTTTACAGCTTTGGCTCCACTGATACCAGCACTCCAGAGATTAAAAGAGCAAATGGGGACATATTCACCACATTTTGGCGTATAAAGCCAAATCCACGCTTCAATAAACAAAACTAAACAGCATTTTAATAATATATATGAATTGTTTAGTCAAGCGAGAATGGAGGAAGATTTCCTGTTTCTGACGCTGAAAAATTGGTCCGAAACTTTATTCGTTTTTTTTATTCACAAATGCATAATTGTCTCACTGTTTTTTTTTTTTAATGTTCACGTTTGAGCCCAATATTTTATTTCAGTATCAACATTGCAAAAGCACGATGTGAAATATGACTAATCAACTCAAGCACATCATGCTACAACTATTTTGCAGCTTGATAGAAAAAGAAGCTTCACATGGTTCTCATTTTCCATGACTAATGTACAAGAGAATTCAGATAGAACATCAACTTAAGAGGTCTTCTGAGTTTCTTCAACCTTATTTAGAGTTTGTTGACGTGCAGGATTCACGTGTGCACAGCAAAGTGAGCGTAGAACAGGAGAGAAACACTGAAAAGGAAGATTTGGTTGCAAAAGGCCAGTTGCACGAAAAAAAAAAACTGCAGCAACTGCTGATCAAAAATAGCAACTCAGCAGCGTCTTGCAAATGTTGTTAGTACATGAGGTAGCACAAGTAAACAGAGCTACAAAGCTCTGTATGATGAGCGCAAATGCAGATCTGAATGCAACACAAAGCGAAAAACTTTTATGGATGCCTTTACTTGTGTTTTGCTGGATTTGTTCAGCTTCACTTTCTATGCAGACGCGTAGAATTCTGGTGAATTTTTATATCACAGAAGAAAAAAAATCCCCAACATCATTTGTTTTCAATATTGCGCACTCATAATGAACGTTTGGCTTGTTGCTTCAGTATTATAGCTTAACAAAAATGACTCAATATTTTAATGTACTTGTTTTTAGAATTTACAATTAGCACCCTTGAGAGTCAGTAATGCAGTTCTGCATTATGTAACCTGTGCAACAGCCTAAGGCCAATGTGTTGTTCTTGTTGACGAAGGCTAGTAGCCTTAAAACGCCGGTGGAGGCTAACAAATGACTATGAATGACTAAACAAACAAATGACAGTAAAGAACATTATTAGAACAATGTTAGACGATATCTTGTCCATAGCATTTATTTAATGCCTAAGATGTAACATATGACAACTGCAACTAATGGTTATTTTCATTATCGATTCATTTATTGATTAGTTTGTTGTTTGGTCTATGGTGAAAAATATCGATCAGTGTTACTTGTTTTGTCGAAAAACCAAATATATTCAATTAAGCGATTCAGACATTTAGGAAATATGAACATTTAAGTGCCAGAATCAGGATTTTGACTTGTTTGCTAAAAAGATTTACTCAAACCGGATTAATTTAATAGTTAACAACTGATTGCTTAAGACTTGCAGCTCTAAAACATAATGTGCCTGGCTGTAGACTCCCCCCCAGCACTAATGGTACAGTCCAACCACAAACACAAAAGACAGGCTTGGAACATTAATCTTGTATTACTTTTTATTTTTGTTCACATTTATGAAGCAACAAGCCAAACACGCATTAAAAATCAAACTGAGAGACAATTATATGTTTGTGAAGTGACAAAAAAAAAGGGTAATTTTATCTTTTTGTTGATGGAAATTGAACAAAGAACTGCAAATCATTACACAGGCTTGCGTTTTACCTTTGTGAATTCAATATCTGGGGTTTTTAAACAAGCAATCTAAAGACTTCACCTTGATAAATGCATGTGGCATTTTCAAAACTAAACAGTAAATCAATTCATCAAAAGCATGTAAGATAGAGAAGTCATTAAAATACAGAGGCAACACTATGAAACTTTGCATAAACTCATCTATGCAGAGGAACAGCAGGGTTGCCAGTAACAATTATTGTCATTGTGGATATATTTGATAATTATTCCCTCAATTAATCAAATAATTGTTTGGTCGATACATCACTGTACTCAACAAGAATCAAGGATATTGAATTTACTGTCACACAAGACGAAGAAAGAAAAGCTGAAAAATGCCACAGCTGCTACAAGAAACGTTTGGTATTTTGTTCTTGAAAAATGACTTAAAAGATTAATTGATCGTCGTATTAGCTGCTGATTAGCTTGGATTAATCTGCTAATTTTTCCACCTCAGGGCGACGGCGTGCAGACACTTCTTATTTCTCCGTGCTGCGCTTCGAGGGCTGCAGAGCTACGTGGAAATGTGTCAGCTTCATTCACGGCGGCTTGGTTCAGGTTTCTGCAGTACCTGGAGTGTGTTATTCTTTCCTCCGTCGACAAATCTATTTCAGGTTCTGCGCAGAAAAGGTTGAGCGGTGTTCCTCCTAAAGTCACCCTGAGATTAAATGTCACTTCTGAAACTCAGCTGAACCAACACACAAACGCAGCCCCGAAATGTTCCGCATGCCGTGTGCAGAACGTCAGCGCCTCCGTTCATCCTTCACGCCTAAAATCCACCTCTGACCTTCCCCTAACACCCAATCAAAAGCTTTGATTGTTTACCCCCCCTCTCGTCCCCCAGCTGTCATCTCGTAACCTCGCCGACCTCCTCTTTTCGTGGAGGTCAAGAGTCTAATTTGGGATGGTGGCTGTGCAACAGGTTTTCCATGTGCCCCCGAGTTTCAGGGATTACCAGGATGACAACCGGGGGTCAGGGGTCAAGGCGGCCCCCTGCAGGGTGATGCATGGGAAAGGCTAAAGCGAGATGGCAGCCATGCGTCCCCCCCCCCTCTGTTGACAGAAGCTACCGAGGCTCCGCGGGTTAAAAAAATGGTGTCTCGGGTTGTGTCTACAAAGTCTGCGAGGGCATTTTAGCAGCTCCCCTCAGACCACTAAACACGTCAACAGGGAGCCGTGGGAACCGCCTGCAGTTCAAAGGCACATTTACACACATGGGTTCAAGATGAGAAACCACTAAAAGGCACAAGGGTGCTTTACATGACACGCACCAACCCATTATATACACGCCATAGGTATTTAACAATATGTGGGCATGCACTGTAAATCATTTCAAGCCTATTCAGCTTCTACGTTCCTGCTGCCTTAAACATGTGACTGAACTGAACCTCTGTGGCTGTGAAAGTCAAATTAAGTTAAATCCTATTTTCTCTGTGATTAGACGGAAATTGCAGAAAACTTTCCAACATTAAGACGGTTAACTGAATGCAGAACATTATCTGTTTGGACATGACAGTAAATTGACTGCATTTTAAAAATTAAACAATATCAAGAAGAGAGTATTTTACAAGTTTGCAAGACGTCATTCCAAAATCGATGAGACCCGGTAAGAACTGTACTGTCTTGTCAGTCAAAAAAGTTAAGATTATCAAGTTGAACCAACTACTCACATAGACAGGGTTTACAGACTTGGTTTATATTTTCGTACTTTTAAGTCTTCAATTAATTTTGAGAACCATCAGTTTAGGCTGTTAAAGTGAGTTTTTTAAAAACCAGATTCATTAGAAATATAATCTGTAAGGCTGCTCCTGGTTACAGTGCGATAAATTCTAGGTTTACAGGTGCAAAGACTAGATTTAGAGCTAAGCTTTGTCATATTTAGAATTTGTAGATTATTACTAAATGAAACTACCATAACTTATTTTAGCACTTAGCAAGTTTCCACAATGTCTGCTTTCTAAAACTACCAAACATAAGAGTCTACTAGAGTTTGGTGGATTCTGGGAAATCTGCTTATGTGTTTCTTATTAACTTAATTCTGTGAGTTGAGTGACCTTTAAACTATTCATTCATTCAGCGGCTCATTTTAAGTCAAAATGCGACACATTGTAAGAGCTCATGTTATGTTTTAATTGGTCTGACAATAAAAAACAGACATTTTTATCAAGGAAATGAGCAAAACTAATATATTTCCAATAAGTTAACTAAAAAAAGATGACTTGACTTGACTGGCTGAATCGATGTTTTACAGTGCACTGGCTGTAAAAACACATCCTAGACCACATTCAACAGCTCCACCCGCTCAGCACACCCAACTCCACTATAACTTCTCAACCACTAGATACCTTGCAAACGTTAACTGCCACCATCTGGTCAAGCATTCTGCATTAAACTCAGATAGTAAACTTTAAAAGGCCTCCGCAGCGGCTCCTGCAACACGTCGGCTGGTGTGGTTAATTTGCGTATCTTATATTCCTCTTGAACCCACCCGGCTGAAAAAGCCTCGCCTCTCATTCTCGGCCCTGACCTTCCATTCCTCGCAGGGACGAGGGTCAAGCATCCGTGGACATTTTGATGAGATAAAGGAATCTGAGGGCTTTAACCTCGGTGCTGATTTGCTCTATTGTTGAGCCATGAAAAGCTGCTGGCACAGAAATCTGAGTCGATACAAGATGCTGAGCGGGAGAAAACTGAATTGTTTTCCGCTTCGTTCTTCATGCAGGATCAGAGCCGATATTAAAGGGTTGAGAAGGAGGAGGAGATGAAATACAAAATATATATATATAAAAAGAAAGCACTGACCTTCTTTATGACACTGTCCAAAGTCTCTGGGCGGCTGATGTCGAAACAGATGAGAACCGCATCTGAATCCGGATACGCCAGCGGCCTCACGTTGTCGTAATAAGAAGAACCTGTGGACACACAATAGCATATGGCATAAGGTCACCATGTCTTCTGAGGAACTCCTGTGTGTTTTTAACCTGATTTAACCCCATGAGGGTGCTCATCCCGACCATATGGCTCGCCCTGTCAGCTAGAAACACTCTGGAAGGTGATCTAAAGGTCATTATTACACTGGTAGCCCATTAAAGCAGCCACTGTGACACGCTGCAGCTTGAACGCTCTCTGCACATGCAAATGATCCCAACAGTTCTGTGCAAATATTTGCGTATCTTTCTCTCCTGGGCTTCCGCACAGATGCGTCCTCCCTTTTTATCACAGGGGAACATCGAGTGGTAACTCGCAGGAGCAACACATGCACTCAAAAGTGAATTATAGTGGACCGGAGGACTTGTGCACGCAATCCATAATCATCCCGATACGACAGCGAATGCCAGCACAAAGGCCAAACTGAAAGGTTGAACCCCTTAATTCTCTCGTCTCATCCCTCTTTCTGTCTGCCTTTGCAAATGGCCCTTGTTTTAAAATCTCTCATTTTCTTTCGAGATCCGCTCGCACGCCTTCTCCTCGATCTTCGTTTTTTTTATTTTGGTACCTTGATCAAATTTGAAGGCAGAGTGGAGCCTCTGTACTCACACGGCTCCTGCTTTCTTACAGCTCTCATTAGGAGGCTTGTAAAAATATCTGGGCTCTCGGGGAAATGTGGCTGCGACCGCCGGCTCCCTCCTGGTATTCACCGCATTTTACAGAAACGTGCAGAAATCAGCCAATCAAATCACATATTGTAAACAGATGATGCACACTTTGACATAATAAACATCTCTGATATCGTGTGTAATCCCTTGAGGTCACGCAACCTGATTATGATTAATAATTATAGATAACGGCAGATTATTCGAGGTATCCGTGCTTCACACCAGACCTGACACAATAAAGTGCCTGTTAAAGGGCTGCATGCCGTTGTCTGGTGGGGTAAATGGAGTCTGCACAATGGCACTACAGCCTGCTTTAGCATCACTATGTTCGCTTTGTTAATGATGGAATGAAACCATGACAATAGCTGCACGCGGCCCGTAACCCCTCAGCATTCAGCAAACCGTCCTATGGTGACCTGCTGCCTCCCCACTGAGAACAATGCAACAGGCTGCACAGTGAAGAACGCTGCTGTTTGTGCCTCCGAGCGACAGGAACACTTCTGTTTACGTTTCTCGCCAAAATGCACTTTGCCATCAAGTGCAACCAAATATGTTTAAAAAAATGTACTTTGGATTTAGATATCTTTACTTTTATTGCTTTCATGCCGCTGTTTATACACCTTACTGCCCACTGTGCAGCCTACACTGTAAAAAAACAAATGTTTGAGTTTTTTACCAGTATTTCTTTTAACAGCTATTTACTGTAATTTCACAGATTTTCTGTTTTGTTAAATTACAGTTAATAACAAGTAAAATCACAGAAAAAAAGTATTAATTTACATGTTAACCCAAAAAACACACATCATTCATTCTTTGAAAGTTAAGTTACACTATTGTTTAATGTATTTAAATCAGCAAACACATAATTATTCTACAGATTCACCATTTACCATTAATAAAAGAATAAGTATGTATAGTAAAGATTTTTTTAAGGTAAACAGTTGTCTTTTTTTTATGGGTTTTCCCTGTTTTGTTAAATGTTGATTCCAAAAAAAAAAAAAAAAAGTCTCTAGTGTCCACATCAAAAATCTGTATTTCAACCATCATTCATTCTGTTTCATTCTGTTACAATGAGTGATCATAAAATAACACTATTATTACCAAGCAGTGTCCTGTCAAACTCCCATAACTGTTCAAGAAGTCTTCGAGGAACATGACAAATAGCCACAAGTGTTGACCCAGCCTCCAAACTCCCAAGATCCCAATCTGAACAAGCATCCATGGAACAAGCCTGATCTATGGAGGACCCACAACAAACCCATACGACAACTTCCAAGCAATCTTGTTTGCGATTATAACAGTTAAAGCCAGAGAAGTCCAATGACCACTTTTTCATGTGTTGATAAAGCCATTTTTACCTACAGGTACTCAAAGTATGTCACAAAGTCTGCTTGTTTTCTACTCAGAAGCCTTGGTCAGAATCCATTAACCGCTACAGAAGTCTCTGTCATGGTAGCCCGTTGCTAGCTAAACTCTCACAACGCTCTCTGCCACATCCATCCACAGCAATAAAACTGAAATAACAAACACAAAACTACTTATTTAACAATTTGGATTTGAACATTACACATTCCCATAATTCGCTGCAATTCAGCAGGTTGCTCCACCTGGTGGCACAAACAGACACTACAGCTAAACTACAAAACATTTTCTAACTTCGTATACTTTTATTTGGTTGTATTATTAACGGTAATGTGTCCATGCCCCGACTTCTCAGAGCTGTTTTGGTGGAAGGAGGGGGAACTACTCAATATTCAGCAGGTGGTTTTTAAGGTTTTGGGCATCTGGATGTAAAATACGACATTTAAACAGCACACAATCAAATTATTGATGCCCTCCAGCAGCAAATCCACTAATCGGTGCCTTTAAACTTTGCAAAACCCTTGAGGAAGTTGTGCAAAATCTTGAATAGAGACACTTTTGAAACATCTTGTTTTGCCACCTTTAAGAGATAAATGCAATAGTCATTTTTGCCCACACCTTACAGGACGTTATCAGGAATTCATAGCCCCCTCTTCATCTTATTAATGCAAGATTGCTACTGTTCTGTACTGCTGAGAGAGCAGGACGAACACACTCACAACCACACTCCCAAAAAAAAAAAAAAAAAGCCCAATCACACGGATGCCAAGTCCGACAGTCAGCAAAGCTCACATTGTACGACAGCGAGCTCTGATTGGTAGCGGTCACACATGAGGTGCTGTAGCTGCTGAAGTCGGTCTTTAGTATGTATCACAGAGCAGCAGACCTGAGCTAAGGTTAGAGCCGGAGAAGAAAAGAGACGGAGCATGTGGGAGTGAGGACAAAAAAAAAAAAAAAAAAGATTTAATGACTTTGACGGCAGGGCGAGGGCAAGGTGCAGGAGAGGAGCAACCAGGGAATTAGAGATGAAGGTGGGGAAGATGTCAGATGAAGGAAAGTTGAGACAATGGCGCTTGTTTGACTTAAGATGTAATTAGGAGCCGGAATGAGGCCGCTGGGATCAATTTGTCAATCCCAGAGACCGAGATGATTGGCAGGTCACGGTCACGGCGAGGCCTCGTCACAGCACTGCAAATTCAGAGCTCTTCCGCCCTGAGCGACAGGGAAGCTACCTCAGCACTTCTGCAAAGTCAGAAAAAAAGTCCTCTGAGGGAAGAGGAGAGCAAACACGTTTTTTTCTTTTTTTTTTAAAAGAGTGCTGTGGTTAAAACAAGCCGAGCAGGCACAAATAAAAGCCAATCACCATAACAATCAAGAGGAGAAGAAAGTGGAGGGGAGAGCTGCTGTTTTCTCCTGCATGGAGACACGAGCGGAGATAAAAAAAAAAGGAGGATGTAGCTGCGGAGCGGAGGGGAGGCCTGGTGTTTGGGCAGGTAATGAAAGCACCGGACTCGGCAGGACAGATCAAATAAAGAGGTATGAGAGCTCTGGGTTAGCTATTGGTTGAGCTGGCCTGTGCCCATTCACTGCGAGGTGGAACAAAAGGTCAATTGAATTTCAGACAGCGGCGGGAGGAGATGGATGGAGCGGGAGGGCGAGGGGAGGGGAGGCGCCGCCTGGCAGGAACCGCTAAAAACCATCACGCCTGGCAAGGAGCGAGACCCGGCCACGCCGTGCCAAGGACGGGCATAAAACACCCCTCACACCACAAAAAAAAAAAAACTCCTCCTCCAGCATTAGCATTAGCCTGATTTAGCACCGGCGATCCCTCATCGTGGATTTCTGTCTTTTATTTCCACGGGGCTAATTAACGCTAAGCCACACTCGCGGCACCACGTAGGAGGCTCCGCCGAGCAGAGGTGACAGAGGTGGGAGGAAAGCGCTCCTCGCCAGCCGTCAGTCGGGCTTCATCAAAGGCCAGAAATATCCCAGAGGATGTTGAGGCGGACAGGAACTTAGTGGAGCGCTAATGTACAGTAATAAGGCTTGAGGGTTTTGTGGTATGACTTCATTTATGCCTCCTGTCCCCCGACGCATCGATTCGCCCGGAGGGACAAGTCCGTCTGACAGCTCTCTATCTGCTCATTCACTGAGAACCTCATTTCACCAAGACGGGCGACGGAATACACTCGAAAACAACAACAACACAAATGGTTGATTGAGACGATTCCGACTAACAAAGCCCTCCAGTTTTTCATTAATCTGTAGCATCACAGCAGGAACGTTCTCCGTTGCATCCTCATCTCAGACGCAGCTAAAAACCATTATGAGTGAGGGGTGAAGGAATAGTCTTCGCCTCGAGGCTCTCTGATGTATTCATGCACATATGGCAGGGAGTCAACGGCAACTAACAGCCTCATTAGGCCATATAGACGCTCAGAAAAACAACCACAAAGGAAGGGGCGACAAAAACGCCGTCTGAAATGTCACCAAATCACCAAAATTAACACAAAGCCCTCGTCCCTGCGTCTTTTCTCTCCTCCTGCAGCTGTTTTCCCCACTCTTGAAATCCAACCTTAAAAAGTGAAAACATTTCAAGTCGGGGCCGCCGGAGTATCGTAGCAACCTGGAGTGATGCAAAATGGCTTCATTGTGGAGGCCCTGAATGGAAAGCAGAGGAAGAAGAGAGCGACAGGATCGAGTCAAAAGAAAGAAGTCGGCGGCTGGTTGAACAGACTTTTCACCGCTCAGATTCCAAGTGTTACGACTTCTCAATTGGGTTTCGGCACAAACAGAGATAAACACAGAACGCTGCCAAGATCCTCTTCGACGGGGAGGTGGAGCTGCTTTGACCCGCCGCCGCGCTCCTACTGTACGAGACGGCGAGCGTTTCATTACGTGGATGTGAGAACCTTTCTTTTACTGTACAATCCTGCATCAAGAAAACCAATATA